CAGGGGAACACAGGGGAACACAGGGGAACACAGGGGAACACAGGGGAACACAGGGGATCACAGGGGATTACTGGAGAACATAGGGAAACAAAGGGGATCACAGACAAATTTAGGGAATCTTTGAAATAGTGGTGTATAAAGCCGGGACAACTCATGTAGTCTTACACGAAGTACTGACCCACTGAATAAACTCAAGAACGAAAAGAAAGAAACACGTCACACGTTTATTAATGAAAAACCGTCTCAACTAACAATGCGYAACATAAATCTCTAACGAAGTTGTTTATTAACTTTTGCAATTGAAAAAAGTGACATTTATAAACACCAAATTACGAAACACAAAGAACGTGTAAACATTGAATGAACAGTCACTTGAAAAAATCTTGAAAAACAATATACAGGGCACCCACTATAGAATATTATCTAATAATAAGTAATGGGTTATTTATAGTTAATAATTATGATGAATTCACAAATAAACTTTATAAGATAGAAGACAGGTGGTGGTGGTGATAAGCGATGACGTTAGCGATGATGATGATAAGCGTGACCCAACCCACTGTGTTTGACGAAACACTCAAAGCTGCTTAGAGTTGTTTGTTGATTGAACACTTTGTTTGACTATCCGGAATACTTGGTTATTACATTTATAGTTGATTTTTATTACATTTATGGTGGGTATTACATTTATGGGTTTTATTTCATTTAAGGGTAATACAGCAGCCGTTGATGTTGGCAAATGTTTGTTTTGTTTTTGTTTGTGGAAAAAGAAGATGAAAACGTTTTCAATATATATAGCGAGTCCCATAAATTATTTATACATTGTGCGGTCTCTATCTTGAATTTAAAATTTTTAAATGGCCTATATATTTATAGGTTGGCTTATGAATATAATTTTTCAAGAGATGTGTTTCATTCAGTAACTTTTCCGGCGTTCAATGTTTACTTTTTCTTTGAGGTCCTTAAGCTTATTCACTTTTAAAAGTACTAGTAAAAGTACTAGTGAAAGTTAATTATTTTAAAAATTCGTTAGAGAGGTACTTGAAATGGGTGTAAATTTTTTTATGAATTAATTGTGCTTGTGTGTTTTTCGGTTATTTTGAATTAATTCTTAGTGTGCAAGAAGAAAGTAACACATATTTCAATATAACCAGCCTCGATCTTCTATCTTATACAGTTTATTTGTGAATTCATAATTATTAACTATAAATAACCCATTACTTATTATTGGATATCATTCTATAGTGGGTGCCCTGTATATTGTTTTTCAAGATTTTTTTATTAAGTGACTTTTCATTCAATGTTTACACGTTCTTTGTGTTTCGTAATTTTGTGTGTTTATAAATGTCACTTTTTTCAACTGCAAAAGTTAATAATCAACTTCGTTAGAGATTTATGTTGCACATTGTTAGTTGAGATGGTTTTTCATTAAGAAATGCTGTGACGTATTTCTTTCTTTTTTTTCTTTTTTTCTTTTTGAGTTTATTCAGTGTGTGATATAGAGAAAGACCCAGGCCTAAAACTTAATGGAATTTATTTCAATAACAAGCAATAATGGCAAAAAGCGCCAAAAACTAGACCTTCAGCAGCAGTAAGGGGGACTCGCGGTCGATGTCAAAGATTTACGGGTTTTACAGGCGGTTTAAGGAAGGCGCCGGCAGCGGGAATAAGCCGCGCGATAAGTCCTTACTGCTGCTAGTTGTCGAACCGCAAACGGAGGTTAAAATATCCCTTACATATAGATGGACGCCATCACAAGTATTCGAAATAAAACTGTGCGCCGACTGCGAACTCAGGTGTTGGATCGCCTGGATGCTGACTTTGCCTTCACAACATTTATGGAGGGAGATACGGA